GCGACGCGCAGGCGATCCCGCTCCCTCTCCCCTTCCCCCCGTCCCTTAGTTCGAGCTCGTGGCAATGCGGGACATCGGGTTACGTCCCCGTTCCCTATCACGCTGTCCCCTTGATTACATCACATTCCAACAGATCCATACTCCGCGCTCCTTCCCCTCTAATCCTTTTCCTTCTTCGACCTTCCACCAATTCTACGCCACCCGCCTCGTCGCCGAAGTATACCCGCACCCCGCCGCCCAATGTGTCTCTTCTTCCTTCTACCTCCACGTCCTTCTGTTCGGCGCCGCGTGGCGAGACCAGGACGTCATTGAAGTCTACTGCATCATCACGGGAACTATCCCCGTGTGTGCAGATCATGAGCAGTTCCGTGCGGCGTTGTTTCTCACCTTCTCAACCCTCTATCCCGATTATCTTGCTTCCCTCCCCGAAGGAGGAAATCGCTTCCCCCGCATCCATCGCATCATCAGGTACCAAGAGCTCCCTGAAACGGTGATGGGGACGGCGAATTTCTTACCGCCTTTGCCGAATGATCTTCCCCCGCCTATCCCCGCCATCTTCCGACTCCCCCACCCTTGAGACGACGACGGCTCGAATGACGTGTCGACAGGATGACTTCCACACTCTTATCCTACGTTAACGACACGTGTAATATTGGCGGAATTGTAATTCTTTCTTCCTTCCTTCTTCTTTCTTCTTCGAGCTTGGGAAAGATGTCGGTGCAAGCGGAAGCTTGCACAGGATGGAACCCCCTGGGCGTCACATATGTGACGAACTATTTTCTGTAAGGCGCCATCTTCTACGCAACCAGGATTGGGGGTACCCAGAGAGATCGGGGAAAAATTGCATGGTGGTCCCTCCTTCTTGATTTTTCGAAGTTTCCTCCTTGGTCCTTCGGGGGAGAGAAAGTGGCGGTTATGGACCTTGGGATAGTAGGCCCGCGCCTTAGCAGGCACGGGGGGGGAAACAACTTCGGCTATGGCCTTTTTCTCTTTTCTTTTCTTTTCTTTTGTTTTCAAATAAGGCGTTCGTCTTTTTGGCGCGATAATCGCGCAGCTAATTCTTTCGGAATTTTTGAATTTAGAACGAGCCCATGCGGGCTCTCGGATTTTTTTTTTGTAACAAGGACTTTAATTAGACTAGGAAATAGGGTGCGTCAGAATTTTTGCCCGTAACTGCACATCGCCTCTTGCTTGCGCGCGCGCTTTGCTGCACAGGGACCTGCGCTTTGTTCCCGCCGCGCCTAAATTCTACTTTCAACTGTAATCTCTTCTTGTTCCTTCCCCGCTACGCAGGAGTAACTGTAATCTTCCCCGTTCTTGAAATTCACTTCCCGCGTCACTGCATGCGCACTCTACATCCTATCTCATTGGCCAGATCGTTGCATGGTTGGATCGAAGCGTGGAGTGAGGCTATGTCCCCCACGCCGCGGCCCAGTCATGCACTCGTAGGCACTTCCTTTCTCCCTTCTTTCCTGTTCTTCTGGCAAACCCGACTATTGCGCTCTGATTAGCAAGCTATAAATTTTGCGATCGCGATTAATTTTCTCTCTAAGCTACTTGGGAGTTAGCGCGGTCGAGAGGATCGGCTAACGTGCAGAAAGACGGTGAGTAGAGAGTTGGGCGATCTAACGAGCTGGTGCTGAGTGCGCGGGGTTGACGCGTGGCCGTGAGGGACTGTGGCACCTGGGCGAACCTGGCCCGCACACTCAGGCTAAGCGGGGTGACGACTCTGTGAGGTCTGTGGGATGCGCGGCGACGGACTTCCCACATTGAGAGAGAGAGAGAGAGAGAGAGAGAGAGAGAGAGAGNGAGAGAGAGAGAGAGAGAGAGAGAGAGAGAGAGAGAGAGAGAGAGAGAGAGAGAGAGAGAGAGAGAGAAAGAGAGAGACGAGGGATATGGTGGAACAATGGTTTTTCCTCCCCCTTCTATATAAATTTTTATTCCAACGTTGGTCAATCTTGTTGCGGCACTTTTCGGATTTCCTGTGTGAATCTTCTCAGATCTCTTTGTTGGAATGCACGTATGTATGTATGGTGACGAACGATCTCGCATTCTTTCTCGTAAGTTGTCTTTGCTTTTCCATTTTGTTTTGTTCAGTAAATTAGCGTGGTTTCAACTTCGTCGCTTTTTCAGCATTCGGCATCGCAGTGCATGTATCGATCTACGCGTCTGAGTTCTCTCAGATCTGGTCGGTGCGCTCACTGCGCGGGATTAGCCCAATCACTTGCGTTCGACCTGTGTAAGAGATTGCGGGAATTATTGGGAATGTATGTCTTCTCCTCGAATGTTTGATGGCCCTTTCCTCTGATGCATAAAAGTATAACCAGGGAGGGGTTGTTCTGGGATCGGGGTTGCATGCATAATCGGACCAATGTGCCAATAGATTGCTCCGCCATTGGGATGCGCAGCTTAGGACTTAACTAGTTGGCCAGTGCGTACGCGCGTGGAAGACAGCAATCCATCAACGGATTTGCCATCTACACGCACGCATGCAAGGGCTAGTTACGATCCCGCCACGTAGGAATGATGTGTGTGAGTGAGTCCCGTTGATCCGGATATGGCGATCGAAACTCCTTTTTGGATTACCGACCGCGAAAGCCTGATATATCCCGAGTACAGGACATATTGGGAAAGGGAACAGATCCAACGACAACAAGTCCGACAGCAACGGATCAGACGGGAACAAAACTTGCGGAACCTTGATTACCCCTGCCGAACTGAACATGAGCGACTGTGTAGGGGCGATTTCCAGTTGGCAATCAACCGGGACTCCCGAATTCCTGAGTATCCCGACAGTAGACACCAGCAATACTTTATCACCCCAAGCTTCGTCGCTATCACAACTAATTTTCCTCCCCATTACAGCGTCCTCCCGTATCACCGATTGCTAGTTACCCCCCGGGATTCCATATCCCGATTCTGGCCCCGGCCTCCATGCCCAGAGTGCCAGCAGCCCAACGAGCACAAACAGACGGAGGCCACGCGTCAAACTCCTCCCCGGAGAGAACGACGAGAACCCAGCTCGTCCTCCTCATCAGACTCCGACTCTGAGTTCTGCATCGGACGACAGAGGTATGAGCATTCCCACAGCGACGCCCGCAACACCCCGTTCCTGCACGCGGCTCTTTCCCAGCCCCGGCCGCAGGAACGGCGCCCACCCCAACTCTGAGCTAGAGGAACCACTTGCACTTCTACCCCTGAAACTTGACACAGGAGATTCTAGTTCCGACCTGGAACTCCACCCCCACTTTCCAAAAATCCTTGGCACACCCCTTTTCGCACTTCCAGGCCCACTAACACTCCGAAACAGGAAGTCGCGCTGAGCGTGAGGTTGGGCGTCACAGGACAACAGGGTAGTAGTAGAGTCCCTGTCCTGGTTGAGGACCGTGTTCCAGTCCCCTCCCACGACAACATATTTCGATTGGGGGATAATTTGTTTTACCAATGCAAGGAATTGGGCTTTCACAGAGTGATCTGCAGGGACATAGGTCGAGATGACAGTCCAAAGGTGGCCATTTAGCTCCAGGATTGCCCAACATCAGTGGCCCTGTGGGTCTGCCCTGTTTTTTCTTAATATTATCAGCTATTTTTTTGTGAATGAAGATACCGGTTCTTCCTCTCGAGCCTTTGGCAGCGGCCCAAAGTCGCCGTCCTCTCCACCATGAACGCACCGAGGCCAGTTTTTCTTCGGAGAGTTTGGTTTCTTGTATCAGCATGAATGGATCCGTGATTTCAGCCTTGCCCGTTTTTGTTTCCCGTTATTGTCTACCAGTCCACGAACGGTCCAGGAGGCTACGGACAACCTACCATCCATTCGCAATGTCAGACTGCTGCCCGGGTTGGACAGGCTCATGGGCAGTCCCCTTTGTGATCGGGGGTTCGATCAAGCTTGGTACGTCCCAGGGGAGCTTCATCGATTCCAAGACAAATCTGGAAAAGATTTAGGGATGTGGGAATCGAACTCAGAGATGACGTCTCCAAGTATCCCGTCTCCAGGGAAGGGTAAAAGTGTTCTTTCACGTTGCTCTTGTTGAACCACGTTGTCGGTATCCAGAACAGGCCCTTGTTTATCGCTTCCGGGTCTGTTCCTGGGGCCTGCGCCGCTTTCAAGCAGAGGCTGAGGATGGGGTGGGTCTTACCTGACTGACCCTTTCTATGCGTCGATATGCAGGGCATTGTCGGGATCGGTCTCACAAAGTATTTCTTATCCAGCGTTTTCCTTGCAGATTGCAGAAATTCATTCAGGTGCAGAAAAGTGCTGGAAATGAGAGAAGGAAGGAATATTAAATCATTGTTGTCATTTTGTTGCAGAAGCAGAAGGGTGGTTTGGTTGCTTTGTTTGAAAATTAATGGGGCCATAACATACAGGGTGTCATGCTGAGCTGTTGGAGTGACGGGGCCCAACAACTGGGGAGGTGGGTATTGTATTGTCTGCATCGCTGTGCCCATAGTCTCGTCCACCATACGGGGTTTCGTTTGTGGTTGTGTCTCAGAGAGGGGTGCGTCGGCATTTGGACCCTTGGCGCCGTTGGCGGTATCTATGGTTGTGGTGTTGGGGGGGGGGCTGTCCCCTGACCCAGTAAGCGTCTCAGAATCTGGGCACCCATCGCATCTAGGTTCTGCAGCCCGTCCCAGCTGCTGTATTGGCCAGCATACGGTTGCCCCTTGGTACGACCAACGGTTGGTTGAGTGCTCCTATCTGTGTCATGTTGTTTCTTCCAAACAAGGCGTGTATCCCCTCTCCCCCCCGGGAGGGGGCCTGGTGGGGGGGGGGAGGAGGTCCGGCTGGCCGCCACATGAGCTTGCTCCCTGTTGAGGGCTTGGGGCGTTGGTCTATAAACGGTACTGAACTACCCCCCAAGCAGATACAGAATGATTGGCACCAGCTGGAAGACGAGTTTTGGTATCCTGGTTCCAGTGGGAACCTTTCCTTCTGGATGTTGTCTGCTGGGCATCAGCTTCGGAATCCTGAATTCATAATTGTCCCAGTGTTCGCTTGGTAGCATGGTTTCCTTGAAAGACTCTGAGCTGATGAGAGGCGGGGTGAGAGAAAAAATCCTTGGGGACTTGAATGAGAGTTCTTTTTCGCCTTGTTCTCGTTGTCCGCCCTGCACTCCTCACTGCTATGCCCATATCTGTAATACTAGTCACAGAAGGGGCAACGCCACTAGCACTGCAGGGGATGTGTGTTAAAAAAAAAANAAAAAAAAAAAAAAAAAAAAAAAAAAAAAAAAAGGGGCAGTCTTCCTGCTTGTGGCCATGTCGGTCAATTACAACTTATGCACCAGAGAGTACTCGAGTTAACAAGAGAGTACTCGAGTTAACGAGATCCGCCATCAAATACTCTGTTCCATCCCACACCTTCCGACGGGATCCGAAACGTTCTTCGGCACAGGCATGGAGGTAATATTTGAGGTTGCCCAATTTCCGGTTTTCGGAGCCGCCGCTGATTCGGGCAAATTCCTCTATTAGTATCTTCCCCATCGCCGCTTCCACACCTGTCTTTTTTTTTTTTTTTTTTTAACACAAACAACCCAGTCGGGTGCTAGGTGTGCTGGTAAGAGCAGACACATCTAGCACCTTCGGGGAGGCTCCATCTATTGGTGGGGAGCAGCACCTGCTGGAAACCGGGTCCAGAGTCCCTTG